CTCTTTTCTGCATGCCTTTGTGGTGCAACGGTAGCACACTTGGCATGTATTCGAGAGGTCCAGACTTTGTTCCGGCCAAGGCGTCGTTTATTTTCCATGTACTCCTGCTTCAAAAATACGTAATGATTCTACAATATTATATTCAACTTTCAATGTACAGTAACTACCCTTTGTTTTATTGCTTCAAATTGATTATAAATTTTGAATTTTGTTTAATTTGTCTATTTTAAGATTTAATCTTTAGTAGTTTCTGGGATATCTATTATCTTCTGTATGGCCGATTACCGTTCAGTACCATTTGTCGGACAACCGGAACTGTTATTAATAGCATGATGTTTCATTCCCATACAAAACTTGAGCATTGGTCGGATGGATGGAAAGTTAAGTTGTTTCCTCTCATCTAGATAGCGTCGTCTAATGTGTTTTTCCTGAACTACTAAACTTGATTTAAAAAAAAAGGCAGTAGATTTTCCTTCAAACTATCTGTTTCCTTACTAAAAACTACTGATTAAATAATTAAGTCTTCTGATTACTGGGAGTCTGACCTGGGCCAAAAAACTGATTTGGTTTTCGTAGTTTTCCCCAAGCGTAACGTGAATACGAGCCACTTTCCCTCAGAAAGTCCTCAACGAAGGCCTACTTAGCTTTGTGACATTTATATTTAAATTTCACCAGCTAAATGTTATTTAATTTACATCTTTCCTGTTTTCTTCAGTTTGCCTAGTATTCAACAAAGCTTTGGTCATCAGTAAACGGGAGAGCTATCGGTCACCGGTAACATATACGGTTTCAGTCACCAGCGTTGTGCAATGCAATGTTGTTGTAGAGGCAATATTTTCAAAAGCAGTGGAGGATAAGTATTTGCTAGCATTACGGTGAAATATCGCTGAAATTTCGTACTTTTTTCTTGGTTAAATAAAAACTGAAAAATAAAAATTGCAAAAGAGTTATGAGATAAAGTCTTTAAACTTCTATATAGGAATAAACTGGAAATGAAATCATAAAACCTTTCGATGATAATGAAAATCCGCAAAAATATCTGATTTATGTGTTAAAGATATTCTGGGGCAAATATTAGCAGAAAAAAGGAGGAAAAATGATTAACGCTGCAATGTTTATTAATTTCCCTTTTTACATACAATATTCATATTATTTTATTAAAAATAATAGAATTTTCATAATTTTATTTATACATGATAAATCACACGGAGAAAGAATATTACAAATTCTGTTAAGAATTTAAATCTCATGTAATGTCTTTACAACTGATATAAGAATTTTATTTATAGGAAAAATAGAAGTACTTATATTAAGTTATTCATAATTCTCATGCCTTAGAATATTCGGTTAATTAGGAATTTGATTTCTGAAGCGCTGTTGCCATTGTCAGTGTTCTCATTCAAATTTTACTGATAAATGGCCTAGAAAATTTTATATTTTCTTGATAAAGAAATTCTTCCATTAAAAACAGCCATAATAATACCGTTGTCATCCTATTTTTACTCTTTCAGTGGTTACAAAATTGTTCGGATTCGACTACTTTTCATTAATTCAAATTTATTTTAAACTAAGCCCTTACTTGCAGATGTAATTAAACGGTATATTTTGCAGGTGGCTTTCTAAATATGGAAGCTTACCTATATTTGAATATCTTACTCGTAATTCATTTATGATAACCTTTTCTTCAGTTGGACACTAGTTTTCAGTACTTTTAACATCAATACAACTTGTAATATGTAGTTTGAACTCCTATCGTTGTAAAGAATGAAAATACGAAAATCTACGCCTAAAGTTAATAAAATTCATTATTCAGTTTTTAGATTCTTTGTAGCTGTCTTTAATTCTACATGAAATGTTTGTATCCCCTGTTGGTGAATATTTCTGAAAAACTGAATGGTAAATTTCGAAATTCACTACATGAGACTCAAGTCAGAAGATAGGTTAAGACATTTTCCATCCTAATCATTGCTTGGCCATTATATCATATTTCTTTAGAATCTTCCATAGTCATTAGAGCTGTCTACTCGAATTAGTACTTATTTATTTCTAACCTTTCTTCGTTTCCAAAAGTAACTTTTTTTATCAAATAATCTTCCAAATTTCACAAGAAAGACATTAACAACAATTACATACCTAATATAATAGCTAACTCCTGACACTATATTCAAGAACAAATTAGGACTTCCCTAAAAGCAGGAAGTAGGTTATGATAGATATGTTTATAGACTTTAAGAAAAGTATTTCTTTCACACTTACCATTTTTATTACCATTATAAATTTTGTTCAAAATTTGTATTATTGAAAGTATTAGGATTTACACATTTACTATGTATATACCTATTATGTTTTATTTATTATGTATTCATCCATTATGATTATTAGTACCTCTTTTATATGTTATAAATTATACATTCAAGTTTATGTTAAACATTAATAAAAATTTGATATAAATGTATAATTTGAAACTGATGTAAAATTTGAATCCTGTAAAGAATATTTTAAAAATAGCCGTCTTATGACAATGATAAAAATTCTATGTGTCAAAAACAAAATCCCAGTAGCCGCTTAGATACAAATAGTCATAAGGGCCATGCATCAGGCGCTGAGTCTCGGGGCCAGATATGAGATAACTGTGTGCCCCCAACTAACAACTCGGGGGAGGGGAGTTGTTCTAGACAGTGGCGGATGTGGTGTTAAACAAATTAACCGTTAGCGTACGGGAATGGTGCCCACGTCCTCCATTATGTATTACCTTGTAAGAATTATGTTAATTTTATTAACAGTTAAATTTTAAGTTAAAGTTCCTTTCCTGTCAAATTCTTAACTTCAATTTACTACTTCCGGCTAGAACGTAGTTTTGGGATTTGCTGAATATTTAATGAGAAGGAGCGGTATTTAAACCACGAAGTTACTTACTGAGACAGAGAGAGAAACAGAGTTTCTGAACTACGCGTGTCTGCCTTTTTGGCCGCTTTCTCTCTCAGAGCTGTTTTACGCTCGGCCGTACTCAGGCCCTTGCTAAGCTTCGTTGTAAAATAAGTTAAGGGGCCAACTCTCATTGAACCTTGATAGCTTTGGCTATACTTAGTTAGTTAATCTTAGTTTTAGTTTAATCCTTAGCCTTTTACGTTCAAGTCCAAAGTGCGGACTTTATTTGTTCACTCTTAGGCGGAGTTTTGTTAAATCTTATGGAAATAATAAAGGGTTATTTACCCTTCTCTCTTGTTGTTTCCTGTCTTCGAACTCTAGCGATTATTCGCTTAATCAGTTCCTAGGTTCCTCACTTTCAACATTAACTTAAAATTTCAAGTGAGGGACCTTACAACCTGTTTCCAAACGTAATTAATCTGATCACATTTTTACATCCTTCATTCTTTTCTTTTCACTGACTTTGTCATGGCCTTTCAATTGTAAATTTTATTATTTCTTTCCTTTCACTTATCCTACTGTATTTCAGAGATGAAATTCGGCATAACGGCTCAGAATGTCTTTTACCTTATTTTCCAAATGCCTGGAAGTTAGGATTAACAGACATCCTAGTTTTTGATGAACGCATTCAACTGTCCCAACATAATGCTTTCGGACGCCATTTTATTCCGATGTTTCTCTCTAGAAAGAAATTTTGTGAGATTAAAAAGAAAATTGTATACATCCTGCATTCCTCATATTAGTATTAAAAATAATTTTCCCAAAAATTTTAAATTCTGTTTTTTTCCAAAAATTTTGTTTTCTCTATGTATCTGTCTTTTGTCTGCGAGAACGTTTTCTGTCTTGTGCAGTGTTGCCAGAAAATTTTCAACTAAAATAGCAAATAAAGACTAAAAACGTCGCAAAAAATCGCAAATGACGTCAAAGACCACGTGATTTTTGTGACGTCATAGTTGTGCATGCTCACATGACCTCTGACATCATCCCAAATTTACTGTCTGTTGATTCTGTAAGTTATAGACTGTATTCAATTTTTATTTGTTTTAATTACGTACCTTAGTTTTAACGAAAATTTTAAAACTATATTGCTCATTTTCAATTGTTTATATATATCCATTTCTTTTTTAATTAATTCTCATTTAATTTAGGTTCTATTTTTAAATTAATTTGTGCATATCTGTTCTTAAGGGATTCCTCACGTTTAGATTGTTAGCGCTGTCTTACTAATTTTTTTGGGTTGGTAGTTAATTTGTTTAATTTATAGTTTTTTTGTTTGCTTTAATTGTGAACATTTTAATTGAGGAATGATTTTCAGTGAGTTTTCCCTTCTGCCTCGTGGGCTTAGTTCAGATTGTGATTACAGAAAAGCCTTTTTTAAGTCATTTCCATTGGCTTAGTTCTTAGCAATATTATTAAGCAGGCGAATGAATTTCATTTCCTTCTCTGTGTGGGTACCCAATATATGTTTCATTTATTTCTCTGTTTAGGTATCCAAGCTGCAAGTTTTTTTGTTCGATTCGTTTTCACCATAGAACTGAAAAAGTGAACTGACTTAAAAAAAAAAAAAAAAAAAGGGGAACGAGAGGGGGGGAGGTGACAGGTGTCGAAGCAGTTTTTTTTTCTTTCTTTCCGACTTTCTTTCCCTACCCCATATCGTTTTTAAGCCTAAATAAACTGTTTTTATATAAACTATTTTTAAATGATACATTATTTTAACATGTAAGCATTTTACGATATATTAAAAAAATCTTTGAGATTTCAAATTCAAAAATTTGAGATTCAAAAATTTTGACCTTTCATAGGGTTTTAAATATTTTTTGGGAATAATTCTGGAATATGCTAAATCACTTGCAAATGTTGAAGAATCATATGAAATAAAAATGAAACGTTCCGGAGACATTCCAAGGTGTGTAAGGCAAAAATATAGAATTTGCAAAATAATTGAATTATTTCATTATCTTTATTTAACACCATAAAATATTGCTATGTTATTATCAGTTAGAAAAGTGTTGCAGCCCTACATTTCGCTGAAATTAATATCAATTTGAGGCTTAAGTTCGATTAATTATAATGCACATTCTTAAAGAGATGTCTATTGATAAAAAAAACAGTAACTGATTACTCATTTCAGTTTCGTCTCTTTCTTCCCGTTAATTTCATATAATCCTACTTTATTCTTCTATAGAATAATATCATAACAAATTAACACTACATTAATGAAATGATGTTGTACCATTCTCTGGGACAGAACTATGGTCATCATTTGATAATAATTATATGTTTGTTTGAGGTTTTACAATGAGTTCTTGCCAAAGTTTTAAGAATAATTCCCTGTTTATAGGCCTTAGACGTTCATGTACAGAATGATAACATAACAAATTAAAACTGCGCTAATGAAATGGTAATGTATCTCATTTAGAGATAGAACTATCGTCATCACTTGTCCATAAATATGTTTGTCCGAAGCGCCACAATGAATTCTTCTTTTCAGGTTTTAAAACAACTAACAGGAGACGCTGTTTATAAGTGGCAGGTATTTTTAAACCAAGTACTGTTTTAACCACAGAAGTCATTTAATGATTAGATTGTGATTCCCATGGATTACTTCACAGGTGAGAACAACTGTTGCTGTTAACAATCCTGCTCCCCATAATAACAGAACTCCATATATATTTTCTAATCCGAGGGGCTTTAGCTCATTTTCGAAGTAGTTCGTGCATAGAGTAGCTTCTCGGAGATCATACTTGAAAGTCCTTCCGGCTATATCAGCATCCACAAGTCGGGTTATCCTGAAAAACAAAAGTGTTACTAGACTTTATATATATATATTTTTATTAAAGAGTAACGATTTTATTGGATTACTGACTTTAGAAATATCTTAGGTTAGTCTTTTCTTTTTTGTCACTGATACGCCACAGTATGCTACAAGACATTTATCATTCCCGCTGTATAGAAATATTGCTAATCCATGAAATATAAGATCTTTCTTTTATAATATATGGACTTGGCAAACAATCTATGACCTCAGTTGTCAGTGGCAACTGCTTGTTTGCTGAGGTGTGTATTTTCTGGGTTGCTGAGGTGTGTATTTAACTTGGGGTATAGGTATCCTATACCCCAAGTGGCCCACTAGCGGCCGAGCGGTAAAGTCGCTGAACACTGGTAGTTCGTCTGAGGTTCGAATCGCTGGCTGCATGGGTGTTTTCGTGGTTTTCCACATGTGTAACGTGTATACGAGCCAGTTTTTCTTAGAAAGTCCTCCACGAAGGCATCCCTCCCCTTAGGCAGATAACCCTAGTGTGCTTTGCCATAATTAAATATACCACGCCACCTATACCCCAAGTACTGTACGCAAAAGTTGGAAGTAAAAGCCACTTTCCTATATTGGATCTGACTCGAGCCCCATATTAGTAAATACTTCTCTATTTTCTAAGGATATTCAAAAACTACCTTAAAGACCCTTTTTAAATTATATGAGTATTTATATATACCGTCTCAACTTTGGAACGCAGCAAAACATTTTAGCGATATAGCTATCGCTTACTTTCAGGCTTGAATTTCTGAATTTTTTCTACATTGATAATAACCTATTTGTCTTGGTTACGCATAAAAACATCTATAATGAGTTTTTTCTAGGCTCGAAGAGGACTATATAAAGTTAAATCCAGCAAAATATGCATTTAGGTAGTTTCATGTTCTATTTTTTGGTTGCTAAACAGCAGCATCAACTGCAAAACCATTGATCACAAAAGATTAATGCAATTTTAGACAAGCCTCAAACTAAACCAGTCGCCGTCTCAAGTCGTTTCCTTATAACGACAAATTTCTTTATGCGCTTCCTCCCTTATATTGCTCGCGTGCAATTGCACTGATTGATTTTCTGAAAGAAATAAAAAAGAATGATAAGCGTATAATTCAATGGAATGACACTGCCCTAGCATCCTTTGATCAATGTAAAACTGACATTGCTAATTCTGCCGTTTTTGCGTATTAAATTGTTAATCACAAGCTTTACATCTGTGATGATGTATCTGACATCGCTCTCCGCACTATTTTTCAATCTAATACTTTCAATGGTATAACACCAGTTATATCTCTTTTTGCGTAAATAATCCTCTACTGAGAAACCTTTATGCTTATAACAGGGAGCTATCATCATTTAAACCTTACAATGGACATTATTTAAACCTTACAGTGCGAGGTTATTTCTAGAATAGAAAATGTATTCGCTTGTTGAATTAAAGGGACTGATATTTTTATCAAATGTCATAAAAAATGTAGTAACAATCTTAGTTCCTTCAAAAGAACAGTCACGCGCGCCTTCTAGGCTAGTATCCCTCCTCTAACAACTAGGTATAGTGGTATAGTGAAATTCAGTACAAAGTATCTTTAAAAATGGCGTAGCTGCAGTACTGGAAGGATACTGTGGTGTAGTGATTATTAAATACATGTCAACTTTTAACTTATTGACTATCCGCCAAATGGTTCCATATAAATGATAGATAAACCTTACTATATGGAGTACATGCATGCACACAAACAATTAAGTCGCCTACATGCACTGTTGAATGTTACGTAGTCTGAAAACTTCTCATTAAATGCAATTATGTTTCCATAGTATATCTAGTTATTGTGATGTGCTATATATGGTTTAAATAAACTTTTTTGTAGTTGACGAATTAATTGTTTTGTATTACATAATAGTTTACCATCGATTATTATGTGGTCTCATCGTATATACTCACGTTTTTGTGGTCGATGTATAAGATCTAGCATTTAGTAAATTACTATTATATAATTCCCTTTATAAGTCATATGTTTCTTTCTTATTCCCTTACCAACATTTTTATCAAATATTTAAAGCATTTAGACAAATAAACAAAGAAAACAAGTTATATATAAATGCCATAATTTAAACAAAAAACTGATTATAAGCAGCGAAGTAGTTGCCGAACTTTGCCCACATATTGCCGAATAAATACAAGTAGCGGCAACTTAGGCAGAAATACCGATGAAAAGAATGTCGGATTACAGAGTGTGTTGACTTGTAAACGCCGGATTACTGGACTTCACTGTGCAGCTATGGAGATAATAACAAAACAAATATTACAGTGATAACGGTTATAATTTTGGTTTTGTTAAGTCGAACGAAGTCGTATAGAATTTTTGTAAATAAAATATGGATTGTTTTCTTCTCATTTCATATTTCAATTTCCATTTTGTGTTTTGAAAAATTTAAAAAATAAAGCTGTTTGTATTCAAGCAGATATTGGAAACAACCCTTTTTCTTAATTCCCAAATTAAAAGCCTTAAAAAAGCAGAAAATATTAAAAGGTCTTACACTTAAAAACTTTACACTATTTTTAAGCCAGCAACCTGAAAACACCAACTGATTATTACATTAAAAAAACCCTCACAATCAATATAAAAATTCAGCTTACCCAGCATTGAATCTTTCATAAAATGAATAGGAGAATTTCTTGCTAAGAATCATTGGTAAGGAGAAAGGGAAAAAGTATTTATCCGAAAGATGGAAATCACACTTAGTTTTCTCCCTATAAAAGTCTTTAAGTAGATGCTTTATAATTAAGTGGCCATGAAAAAGGCAAATCTTTCCACTTTCCACTTCAAGCAGAGATTCAGTACTAAGTGCAATTTCAGGTGGTCTCAGATTATGCTTTATGTTTTCCCATGCTTTCTCGTAAGCTTCTACACCTGAATGCTGTGGAATATAGAAAACAAGCATATATATGCATAAAATGGAGTATATACATTCCATAATGCTGAAAGACAATACAATAAATTTACCTTATTTTTTAAAACATAAAGAATCTGCTATGTATTATATCATTGTTGAACGCTACTGCAAGTTAAGATATAAAACTTTCAGTTTTCAGTTAGAACGTACAATGACTTAACGCATAGAGATATAATGATTAAGATGTAGTTCGGTAATTAAAGAAAAGTTTCAAAACAATTAAACTCCATGTACAGAAAAAACAAAATGTGAATTTCCTTTTACTTATTTATTTTGCTTTGTCAAATATAGCAGCTTTTAACTGCTTTGCCAAATAAATATAACGCTTTTAAACGAATACTGCAAAAACTTTTCTGAAATTTCATGAGGAAATGAAAATGTCAAGTCTCTTTGAATTATGAAAATCATTTCAAAATATTTTCGAATATAAAATATTCGTGAGATAATAAAGCGAAAATCGCACTGCAGCAAATATTTGAAGTTATTGAACTTTATCGAGTTTAAGCTGAATTAATTTAAAATTATAAAACAAAACTTTGAAATCTTTCAGATTTTACATCACGCCCAAAGTATGTTTAGAATTTCCGATACAAAGTCTCGTTCGCTGGAGATAAAAATGTCTTTTATCTTATTTATTTATTTTTTTTTTTTGGTACAATGTTGCCACTGCTCGCTTAGAAATCGGTTAGTTAGTTAATAAAAAATTCGTTAATGTTTTACAAAATATGAAATAGATAATAAAACAAATTCCAAATTAGGGATTCCAGAAACCCATATTCGGGTGGGGGTTATGTTTTTCAAAATTTGACGGTTCTAAGTACCGTTTTTGAATCACAACGCGATAAAAATACATATATTTATACAGATTCTTCACTATTTAATTTCTTTAAATATAACGTTTGGTGGCAACAATTTGAAAAGTGATACGCCGTTTATAGTGATTCAATGCAAAATGCCAAAGCGAAATTAATATCACTTCTGGACTAACGCCCTTTGGGCTAATAAGCAACAAAGAAATTAGTTAATGTTTCATAATTTACTTTTATTAAAATTAATTTCATATATTTCAGTAGGAATGTAGAGATTGAAAAAGACATTTGTAATAATCTTGAAGAAAATATGTGTATAAGTATCTAGTTTCAAAAATTATTAAATGATTATAGTTATGTGTTTACAAACATTATATGATGTAGGTTGTGTTAATACTGAACTTCTAATAACGATATTATTTTCAGAACTTCTTATATCATGCAGGCAATATAGAGCATTGGATGTGGATCATACTGAAATTTAAAAACTAAGTAGGTGTATAAAATACAGATAATCGTAAAACCATCATCATAATATATGCTACAAAAGTAGTTATTATATAACTACTTTATATTAATAAGTTTATATAAGAGAGATTTGTTATAAGCATGTTACTATTTTTAATTTTAAAATGTTTTTTATAAAATAATATCTACCTTTTTTAATATAAAAAGTGGAAATAACTAAATTAAAGCGGAGACTTCAGAGGTTATTACAAATTAAAGTTAGGATTCTATTTTACATATTCTCTACCTTATACTAATATGCTTACCAAAGATGTTAAATTTTATAATGCACACTGGGAAAAAAAGGGGGACAGTTATTTATGTCCGGTTCCACTGGGCTGATTGACGAAATTCAAATTCAGTTCTTCATGTCTCGAAAGCGCGACTTAGGATGTGTAATAGATTTATATATGAAGTTAAGAATCAGCAGGAAAGGAACTTAAACTCAAAATTTAACTGTTAATAAAATTAACATAATCCTTACAACATCATTGTGAAAAACATTTTACTTATTCAGAAGTCAAACAACAAAAATCAGCGTTAATTCACAAAATTTTCACAGGACTAGTTTCGATGGTTCGGTAAACCATCGAAACTAGTCCTGTGAAAATTTTGTGAATTAACGCTGATTTTTGTTGTTTGACTTCTGAATCAGTATTTATTCGGCGTGTTATTGTGTCTTAACATTTTACTTCTTTACGTTTTCCACCAAAAAGGAGAGAGTCCAGTTAAGCAGTTAATGGAATTAAATTGTTGGACTTTCTTTTCAGATTTCTAAATTTATATATATATATATATAATATGTATATATAGTATGTATATATTAGTATGTATATATAGTATGTATAGATATTTGCAATATTATTTGTTTTATTTAAAACGTGATAAGTCCAAGTATTTACGCGCAATATGCTACTGAAAACTAATCATTATAGACGAAAGTAAGAAGTTTAGAACCAATTTTACGCAAAAACCCAAAAGAAGTGAAATTCAATACCAATAAATTTCAAAATATCCTATGAATATGCAAAATAAGAATTAAGGAAATTTGACACTAAAACCGAAATTTACAAAAACCTGAAAAAATACCAAAACCAGAGAAGAGAAATTTAATCAAATCTGATATGGTGTTATGCAGGGCTGGGCCGCACCTTACATGTATCGCACAGTTACTTAGGCAACATTTCACGAATGAACGTCTTATAAGCCGACACTTCCCCTCTTCCCACCAGACCTGATCCTCTGTGACTTTTGGCTATGGGGTTATCTCAAAAGCACTGTTAATGGTGATAATCTAAACAATTTGTCAGAAATAAAAATGTAATACACTGACATGTCCGTAACATTCCTTCTGATATAAGAGCTGCTGTTGAGAATGCAGTAACAGGATTTAACTTGCTTTCGGAAAATGCTGGACACTACATTGAACATGCTTTGTAACACGTTTCGGAAAATATTAAACACATTTTAAACAGATGTTTTCGTGTCTTATTTCATTTAACAATATTGTATACAGCGTCATTTTTCCCCTGGTGGTGAGTCTTTGAACTCTTTTTTCCCACGTAAAATAAATTCCCATAACCTCCTTTACACGATTCCCAAGTTTCATAACATATGGTCCGGTAGTTTTCCTTGTATGACCATTTCAAATTGAAACTTTAATTATAACCACCATGTAAAAAAGCTTTAAAAGATTAAAGTTTTTAAAAGATTAAAGTTTTAAAAGATTAAAGTTTTTAAAAGATTAAGATTTTAAAGCTTTAAATGATTGACAGTTTGGTTCAAGTCCCAGCTTTAAAAAAATATATATAAATATAATCTTTTATATTAATCCTCTTAGAAAGAATGTTTTAAGAAGCTAATTTTTCTCTTGAAAAGCGTTTTTTTTTTATACATTGTATAAAAAAAAACATGATCTTTAATATGATTTAGATTGTTTAAGCCAATATAGAATCGGGTTACTCGGTGGTGGTACAGAATAAACCCTACTGGACTGTTTTATTTCTTTGTCATTTAGCAAAAATATTTTAATTAAAATATTTATCCTTTGGACTTCGCTTTAAACTTTATTATAGTTAAAATGACTAGAAAATGAAAGCTGTCTTTAGCTGAAACGCAATTCAATAATTGATATTTTAAAAAATTGAAAAGAATGCAAAATTTATGGAAGTCTAGCAGTCGAAAAATCTTAATTTCTTGTGAGCACTGAAAATAACTGTAGAAGGAAAGAAGAAAATTAAGAAAATTAGGGAGAAAAGTAAGAAGCAAAATTTGCAGGGAAATTTGGCTGTCAGACATACCAAGACGTTTCAAAAAGTTGGACGCTTTCGAATATACTTTCAGGATACTTCAAAGAATTTAGGTGTGCAATGAGAAAACACTTGGACGTGTACACCAGCAAATACCATCAATTGAGCTTGTGTTAACAGAAAAGACAAAAACGATATCATTGCAAATTAAAGTGAAGAGCGACTGGTTTTAGACTATATGATTGTATAAATTTAAGTTACGTTATAGAACATCATATCGTATCATAAATGGAAAATCCCATGATTTTCTCAGTCGAATTGTTTGAAGATTCAGGAGTTTATCCAGTGATGTATGTAGATGTCACCTAAAGATGTTTTTTTTTCCCTCCTGATGAAAGAGCGGCCGAGCGGTAAAGTCGCTGAACACTGATAGTTCAGTCCGAGGTTCGAATTCCGCGAACGGGCTGGCTGCATGGGCGTTCGTGGTTTTCCCCATGTGTAACGTGTATGCGAGATAGTTTCCCTTAGAAAGTCCCTCCACGAAGGCCTCCCTCGCCTTAGGCAGATAGAACTGTAATGTGCTTTGTCATAATTAAAAAAACCAGAACTTTTAATGAAACCAGTCTTTCCTTTCATCTCATACCTTCAAATGTTTAGCTCTCTAAAGACTGAAAATGGCTTTGACGAAATACTTCGTGAAGAACTTTGTAAGGGAAACCAGCTGTCATACACGGTACACATGAGAAAATCCACGGAAAACTCCTATGCAACCAGCCCGTTTACCGGGATTCGAACCCCGGTGTGAACTACCAGTGTTTAGCGACTTTACCGCTCGGCCGTTTGTGGACCTTTATGAAATGGAAGGCGATAACTTTATTTAAAATGATTGTCAGAAATACCAAAATGTTTCGAAAAGTTGGATCCTTTATAATATACTTTCAGAATGCTTTAAAGAAAAAGAAGAAAAAAAAATTTTTTTCGTAAATTTAGTATTTGTATTTTTTTAATTTAAAACTTTTTCAATCTTATGATATTTGATTCTTGCGATTTCAAAATAAAACATTTGACTAAAAAATATGAATAACATTTTAAGAAACCAAATGTAGGATAAAATTGTGTAAAGCAATGGGCACAATGATAAAAACTGTTTAAAGCAGTGTATGCAAGTCATCCTAAGTTAAAATGTCGGTTATACATCTCTCTTATTTATATATATCTTTTCTGAACGGAACATTGAAAGGCGTGTAAAACTGTGCTTTACTGTATTTTCTCTTTTAATATAGTATGAAGTTTTCAAACGCATCCTAGTCTGGGTTACAAAGTATTCTTTCGAAAGGAACGCAGTTCAAATTAATAAAATCAAATTCTGGAAAAATGATATTAATAAATATGTTTAAAATGCTCAGTTCGAAGGAATAAATAGAAAAGTTCGAAGGAATAAAGCAATTATCTGAAGAGACAATGCAACACAAACAATTAAAATAAAAGTATAAAAATTTAAAAAATTACCTAAAATAATAACTATGACGAAAAATATATATAAAGAAAACTATTTGAAAAAAAAAATAAAGGCTACCCTTTATTTACGCAGTTCGAATAGGTAAATAGAATTTTTAAACAGTTATTCGAAAAACAAATGTGCAACTTAAACAATTAAAATGAAATTCGAAAAGAAAAAAAATTACTTAAAATAAAGTTATAATTAAAAAATATAATATAAAGAATTATTTGGAAAAAAGGAACGATGGTGACTTTTTTCCTCTCACGAGGAAAGGAAACTAGGTTGCCATATATTAAGAAGTTCGCCAAGTGAAGTATTCTTGGCGCAAACTGACAAAAAAGTGCCAACATAAAATTTGTGAATTTCTCCGTAAATTTCGCTCCAAATTTTACAAAATTTCATTATTAGGCGTAATTTGAGTCGTAGAATCGAAATATGTAAAAAAAATTGGTTTGTTATTTCAGAAAAAGTCCGATTTTGTGTCAAAATACCTATGTAAGAATAGTGCTATATATAAATCTAATATATATCCCAAGTCGCGCTTTCGAGACATGAAGAACGCAATTTGAATTTTGTCAATCGGCTCAGTAGATCGGAAAATATAGGACTGTCCCCTTTTTTTTTTTTTTTTTTTTTTTTTTTTTTTTTTTTTTTGAGCAGTGTACATGTATTCTTAAGCATGCCATTTAATTTTACTATATGCCATTTAGTTTTACTATCTGTTATTCGTGGAGGTTTTGCAAATGTTGTAATATACGTCGCATACCTATGAGAGCCCTACGATTCTAGCCAAAAATTTATTTTTTACTTTTAGTGCATTTACATAAAGCCACATAGCTTTTTATATATATACGGTTTTTTTTTACCTTTTGGTCAGAATACGTAAAAATGTAATTTAACGAGATTAATTTCTCGTAATTTAAACGAGAAAAAGGGAATCCTTCTAAACAGCGCAGCAATGAATTAAAAGTTAGATCTTCTTTTTTTCTTAGTTTTCTGATTTATTTAATGACCTGAGTTTACATTCCACTCATTTATAAAAATTTAATATCACCATTTAAAACCGGGACACTGCTAACAATGAAGGGCTCAGTCTTTCAACTAAAACATTTCTCTTTGTTATAAAGTGAACGATAGCTAAAAAATCGAACAATTTTTGGAAAATTACAAGATCTTGATAAAGTATTTCAGAAACCTTGAAAAATTTTTTTGGACGATTAGCTTTTATTCTATCTGATAATGTGAACTGGAAATCGTACGGTGATTATTTTAAACATTTAGCAATGTTCTGAGAGACAAATTGTACATTAAATAAAAGAAATGTTCTGCAGAATATTTCATTTTATCAGAAATACATGCATCTGAAAACCTTTTAAAGTAAGCGAAGCGTTAGAAGAGAGTAAAATATTAATTTCAGTGTTTAATTCATACAAACGGAAAAACCATATTAAACATAACTATGTAAAATATTTGTGTTAAATGATTTTGTCAGATTGTACCATCCTTTTCAGCAGATTTAAAACAGCTTTAGTTGTGATGTTTGGTAAGTCAGTTGTTTTAAATGCATTTCTGAACTATAACGTGTTTAATTTATGATGAGGTATCAGACTATAATTTTAGTGTTAGTCGAGGAGAAGGCGTATTTGTCAGTTTTTAACTTATAAATTAAAAACAAACACTTACCTCAAGGATATGAGAGAGCTGTATATTACTAGGTGCGACACCTAGAACTGTCTTCCTTCTCACCAAATCCGCCATCGTATCGACTAAAGGCATCGACTTCCTTAAGGTAAGTTTAGATACAAGAAGACTTTGAAACGTATTCATAATAACAAATCCAATTCCTATAGCCCAAAGCTTTGCCAGGACAGAAAGGTAAATTGAAAGTCTAGATGATCTTTCCCTTAACAGCAAACTCTCTTTTGAACCTAATGTAAAAAGGATCTCTCAGTTTGCATCTACTGAAAACAACATTTATCGCATTCCAAAATTTAAAAATATCATATTACACACTATAGCTAATATTTAATCACTATTATAAATTTATTGTATTTTTATATTCTCGCAAAAGAGAGACGACTTCTTTGAAATTTAAAAATTTACCAAATCAGACAGAGATATGATTGTATGAGTTATTAATAGCAAGAAGAAAATTTGAATAAAACTATTGTCTCAAGTTCTTTGATTTACACAATAATCAGAAAACACTAGAAGTGCATTTGTGTTTCATAGCACGTTTACTTGTATCTGCATAAAATACTATTTAAGCGCCGCCTTAGAAGAATGTGAGAACTTCATCTACGATGGTGAAAAAAGTCTCTCTTAACGAAACAAATACCGCCCTCATTAACATTTTCATAATATTCAATGCATGGTATTAATGTATGGCATTAATATTGTATTACATATATCTCTGGCTTTTTTATGCACAACTTATGGGTATTAAGTTTATATGTGTGCATTCCCAGTGTTGGGTGGGTATTAAGTTTATATGTGTGCATTCCCAGTGTTGGGTATTTAATGTATGGTATGAATACTGATTGTTATTTACTGTATTGCATGAATATTGCATTATACATATTTCTTTGTTTGCACTTCTGATATCTACATCGCAACGTATTCAATCGCAGTATGGGGATTAAGTTATATGTATGTACTCCCAGTCCTCGGCATTTAATGTACGGTATGTATATTGTATAGTATATCCTTCATGATATTCAATGTATGGTATTAATATTGTATTACATATATTTCTGGCATTTTTATGTACAACTTATGGGTATTAAGTATATATGTGTGCATTCCCAGCATTGGGTATTTAATGTATTGTATGAACACTGATTGTTATTTACTATCTAGTATGAATCTTTTCTTATACATATTTCTTTGTTTGCACTTCTTGTATCTACATTGTAACCATTCTGTCGCAGTATGGGGATTAAGTTATATGTATGCACACATAGTCCTCGGCATTTAATGTATGGTATGTATATTGTTTCGTATATCCCTCATGATATTCAATGTATGGCATTAATATTGTATTACACATATTTCTGGCATTTTTATGCAACACTTATTGGTGTTAAGCTTATATGTGTGCATTCTTAGTGTTGGCATTTAATGTAAGGTTTGCACACTGATTGTTATTTACTGTATGGTATGAACTATTGTATTATATATATATATATATATAATAATTCATATTCATTCATATATTTTGTTGTATATATATATATATATATATATATATATATATATATAATATGAACTATGTATATATATAGATATATAAACATATTTTTTGTTTTTTTGTTTACACTCTTGTCTCTATATTGTAATGGTATGGGGAATAAGTTATAGGTACGCACTCATAGTCCTAGGCATTTAATGTAGGGTATACATATTGTATAGTGTATACTTCAGGATATTCAATATATAATATTATTATTGTCTTATTATATTGTCTTATATATCTTTTTTTATTTTTATGCACAATTTTTTGAGTATTAAGTTTATATGTGTGCATTCCCCGTCTTGGGTATTTAAAGTCTCGTATGACTATCGTACTGTGTACACTTATTATTATTTAAAGTATGGTATGAATATTATATTATATATATTTCTGGTATCCTTCTGATTTCGTATTATATATTTTTCTATATATTTCTTATTGTTATTTTTATGCATAAGTATTTAACTGCAGTCTATGTATTCTTTTACATGTATCAACCAGGAAAACAAACACCTCCGATCTTTTCGCATATATATATTTATGTGTACCACAATGTTTCTCTGCAATGTACTTATTAATATAATAGGTATATTCCTGTATGCGTATTGTCTACATATGTATACTCCTATTATTTTTGTGTATTTATTGATAATGCATACATATCTGTATATTCATCGTTCTGGTACTTACCTACTTAAGTGTTGTATTTGTTCATCGCATATTCACTGCAAGTACTTATTGTATTGGTCCACCTGCAATACTATCTGTATCTGCACTAAATATATACGCTTTAAATCTCTGTGTAAATAATAGTATATATATATTGCTTATTGTAAAAGACAAAATATATTACATCAACATGGTCTTGTACTTACAATTTTAAATATATCCTCACTATGTTTATACATTGCAACTTTTGTTTTAGTACACACATTACTGCATTGTATTTTTAATTTATTATTTCTATTGCACTGTTGGAGTTGAAAGTATACCGTCGATATATAACATTTATATTGTACTTATAGTCATGTGTATCTTTTATATATTGCATTTTAACAAAACCGGCTACCCACTTGGAATGTTAATTTCCAACCTTTAATGTCCTTGGTAGTTCAATACTTGTAATGCTATTTGTAACGTTCATGCCTTCTTGGTGCCGTTCCCCCGTGTTAAAACTTTTATGTTATTATAATTCTTCTTGTATTCCATATTTATTTATAATTCCATATTTATTGTATTTAATTATTATCATATAGTTACTTACTATTTCAACCATTTCTTATTATATCTGGCTAACTTAAGCATATTTAATATTATCTCATATAATATTTATGTTTATTATTTCTTTTGTCATTATTAACCCTTGTTTAGACATGTAATTTTTATTTGATTTTTAATAAATTCCCAATGGCTCTTTGGGTAGTCGCGGTGCTATACCGATTAACCTAATGGTAAAGGGACAGTGCCCGCGTCCTCCGTCACTTGTCACTTGCCTTCAACACGTTGCGACAGAATGTCAAAAATATAAATTATAATATAGCATATGACCATAATTACTTTTGCTATACACTGAACTTTAAGTTGCAATTTCAGCACCCGGTTAAAGTTTATTGATCACGATTGATTGATTGAAATTATTGATTTGACTAAAATAAGACTTACTTAGAATAAAATACATAAACTTTAATTGATCCCTCCTATTGCGTTACAAATAAGGAGGGAATTTACAAAATAGAATGTCGATAAGGCTCCCGAATCTCCGCTTTCAAGGGCTTGAAGGCTTCTTGAGAATTATTTACAGATAATTACCCAAACCAGTTACTATGACATCATTAGCATTTGGTAGCAACTAGTTAGTCTTGGAGCTGACGTTTTCAATAATAATTTCCATCTCATTTAAAAAATTTTATGAATGTTGTGCACTTTAATTTTTAAGGCAGATTTGATGATAGAAAAACTTAACTTTTTCAGGAAATTTTTTTATTAAATTCCTTTGTCAGCTGAATATTTTCTATTAGAGTATTCTACTTTTTTATGTATTTTTAAATGAATGATTTTATTTAATAATTTATAAATATAGTGTAAAAAATGGCAGTCGTTTTCATTTTAAAGTACAGATTATGAAATTATGATTTATGATGATTAAGATCACATGCTCTTTTAAACAATGCCAAAATTAATTTTTAATTTGTTTAATAATTTTTAAGTTTAATTTTTTTAATTAATAATAATTGTTAATAATTTTTTATTTTTTTTTAATTTGTTTTAATTTAGTTGACACAGATATAAATACCAAGGAATAATCCACAGGAAGAAATATTTTCTATATATTTGAAGAAATATATTCAATATATTTGAAATATATTGAATATATTTGAAAGCAGCTAAATTTGTAATTCTATTTTAATTTTCAAATTTGATTTTTGAACTAATGAACAATCCCATTGCATTAATATGTCGTAAAACAATAAGAGCAGAAATGATAAGAATTCTTTAGGTTTCCCTCCCCCTTTTCATTTCTTTCAAGTAAAAAAGAACATTAATTTAAAAATTAGCAGTTTTATATTTTGTACAACATACACTGAATGAAGTCATGAAAAATTTTATTTTGTATAACATATTCTTGTATGTGTAAATATACTTTATATGAAATAATATTTGTATCAGTGACATCTATCACGTTGAAAAGTTCAAAGACAGGTGGTATGTAACAAGTTTTAGCTCTGACTTCCAGTTCTTGAGATCGACTCCTGTTGAAATATACGAATTTCAAAATTATATTCCTTAAAATGTGCCCTGATTTGTTACTTAGCTAATCAACAGTTTGCTCATGTACCAACTCAGAACGGCAATGAGACTCATGACCTCTTCCTATAAACAGCTAAACATCTCTACACTCAAAAATATAGACCATTATACCTGAAAAAATGTAAATGTTCCTTCATTTCTTATACTCCCAAAACGTTATAATCCCTTAAACGCCTATAAAAATGTAAGTATAACTCGATAAAAAAGCAGAAATGACGAATAATGAAAAAAGGCAGGATCTTTTCAAGGCAAATAAAAATGTGGCGCTCCCTTTTATAGTTATCAGGGTACTAGGTTATGGAAACTACAATATCATCTTCAGAGGGCTCTTCTTTATAATGCAAAAAAGGTATTCAGCCGTCACTATTTTGCCAAATCAGCAGCTTATTTACCCATGAGTTTCAAAATTCCGAGACTCGAATTACCGTCAGCTTCCTTTATTTTTTTAAATCTAGAAAAATCTTTCTTATTGCTGGTAAACCTTCTTCCAAGATAATTATCCGCCATATTCCATTTATTCAGCTTCAATACAGAAATTTGAAATATACTGAAACCTCGGTTCACGAATTTAATTCGTTTATGAAGGCCGTTCGTCAACCGAAATGTTCGTAAACTGGAATATTTTCCCCATAAGAATTATTATAAAATAGATTAATTATTCCTGGATCGCAGATAATTATTCACTTAAACTTTGCAATAGTACTTTGAGCATAAGTTGTAGAGACATTAGGTTATTTTGAACAGAAGTAATAAAAAATGAGCAATGTCCTCGCCGGGACTCGAACATGCGCCGAGTGTGCTACCGTTACATCATGAAAGCATGCAGAAAGGAGGGAGAAAATATATCCTAATATACTACCCCTTTTAAAGGGCGACTGGTGCCTGTCTTCCCCGTTCCTAAATCCTAAATCCTAGGGATTATGTGACCCAATCGCCAAAGCCTGGTGAAGAGTCATCATCCACCACCTTTTAGTTCGGGCGCTACTGTAGAGACATTAGGTTATTTTGAAGCAGAAGTAATGAAAAAAGAGCAGTGCCCTCGCCGGGATTCGAACCTGGACCTCTTGAATATGCGCCGAGTGTGTTATTGTTATACCACGAAAGCATAGAGAAAGCAGGAAGAAAATACTTTATAAAGTTTGTACGTAATCAATGGACATTTTTTAATATAGTACAAAAACGACAAACACAGTATAAACCGCTAGAAAAGGTCTTTTTTCTTTTAATTTTACGATACCTGTACGAAGAAGATTGGACAGATGAAAAGTTATGAGAATGCCGTAATTGTCTGAAAACGAAATTCTGTGGAAAATGTTATTTAAAAGAACAAGGGGCATTTAAAATAGCAAAGTTGGAATTTGGAAAATAGGAAAGGTATTGTAGTGAGAGATTGTGCAATTTGGCTTATTTGAGCTATCTCAAAACTTTTATGGCGCTTATTAAAGTCAGCTAGAAAAATGGCTAACCCCGAAATATTTACTAGTCGAGCTGGGTGTTATAACGCAAAGTGCAGTCGTCGTCGCCAAGAGCTCTATATCTAAACTATTCAAAACCCTCTACTAAAACATTTCAATCTAATTATTTGCATTCTGGTGACAGTTACAGAAAGGAGAACAGTTACAGAACGGTTTAAATCATAATAAAGAGCTCATTAGCATAAAAGACCTCACAAGACTGTTAAATAATTATTGATTATAATTTGGAAAGTAAATGTTTTAAAATAGCTTTCTCAGATGAACGTATTAGAACAGTAACGTTAAATAAACAGAAGTTACTCAAGTAAATTTCTAATTCTTTTAATTAAAAGATATCGTTAGCTACAACAAAACTCTTTTTCTGAAGGGTATGTATTTTTTGAATTGCAAAGCTTATAAACATGCAGCAAATACGAAATAGATAGTTACACATATTAGTTCCTTAAATACTATCCTACACATACACTTCCCAGGATAAGTTTTCTTAATAAAATAGAGAATTTTCGAAAATTATTTTTCAACCCTACTGGTATGAGGGTTTCGGAGAGAGAAAGATCTATTTAAACCTAATTTAGGCAGCAGCTAGAAAACGTAAGCACGCACTTTGGTTATTAAATAGTATCGCCGTAGGAAAAATTTATTTTAGTATCAAATCCCCTCCTTCCCAATGAGTTGAAATTCTGCTCATAGAATTTGTTCCTTGTTCTAGTAAACTTCGTCAGTGAAGTGCATATCTAGGATCCATATTTAAAGAAATGATATTGACAGCTACTTTTGAAGACCTTGTATACATTTCTACAATTAACCCATGACATTTGCAATATCATATATACTATATATACTATATATACATATAGGAATATGCGAAAATTATTTAAACTTACTTTGTCGTAACGTATATGATAAGAAGAGCCAAATATATTGACTAAACGTTTGAGACCAACTGAACTCAGCTAAATGAACTGATTTTCTATATAAAAAAGTAGATATTAAGGAGACCACTACAAGAGCGATCAAAATGCCAATCCACACCTATAAAGGAAAATGAAAGGAAAGTGTAAGTTTTCGCTCTTTATCGTAATATAATGAAAATGGTAATGACTTTAGATCATGTCTCTAATCGTAGCTAAATCCGCTACAAAAGTTAAAAACATACAGTCATAATTATGCAATTTTTCAAAATCCCTTAAGAGTTAGAAATTTGCTTATCTTTTAATAAGGGGTTTTCAAGGAGTAATTCTTTTGATTATCTAGAGAAATGAATATATTTTAAAAAAACAATTACATAACACCATATTGTAGCTTAAATGGTTAAATTAATGGCTTGGAAATGAGTTATTCATTTACGAAAAAAGGCGAAAATGATAAATACTTATAATTAAATTATATGCGTTAAATTAGAAAAACATTGTCATGAAAGAAAATGAGTCATTTGGCAGATATCAAGGATAAAAGAAAAAGAATCGTTTCTGTGCCATTGTGTCTACCTAGACCCTTGCTATTATTTGGCTTCTTTAGGAACCTCTTTGTCGTGAAAAGAAAATTAAGGGACTTCTTAAGTATTTAATCTTTCATTATCACTATTTTTTGAGAAATATTTTACATAATAGTGTACTGGAGGAACTGCACTGGTTTCATTTCAGTGGCTGAACCCATATTGGACATTCTGTTAAATATAGGACGGCTCAATTAAGTTTCACTAAATAGAAAAGAAAAGTAAACAAATAAGCACGCTGTTGCATAATTCCATTGAAACGGACGTAAATTTCATATGCAGGTTAAAGAAATGACCTATCATAATCAATTTCATTAAAAAGATGACTTTAAATATGACCCTTTTAAATGATTTATTTTTGAGCTGTTATTTAGAATTAAAATTTACATTTTTTCTAAACAGATGTATATATTTCTAATAGTAGATTTATAGTACTATTTGTAGGAATAAAAATATCCATTGAAACATTTATCTTTTACAGGTAATTTGTTTGAATTTTATAAATGACCTGTAAACAGGAAAATGGTCCGATACCCAAATTTGTTTCGCTTGGGATTCCCTCCATTCATAGATCACATTCTTTTAAACTAGCTTTGAACAATAACTATTCATACAATGACATTATAGTTACATATGGAAGGATTAGAGAATAGATTATTCTGGAATTTCCTGTAAGTTTCTTTTTATATTATTTTACAAATGTAAAATATCACACAACCTCCTAAATAGGTTTTTCTCAGTAAATGAATATTTATCTATGTGATATTTCCTTGGCAATAGTACAATCAGGTGTTACTTTTGTATACATTGGTAACATTCTAAACATAAATTAGCCTGAAAGGTTTCTTTTTCACATTGGATCCTAGTGGTTTCCTTGTGTGCCTGTTTTTGGAAGAAATAATCCTCAGTATTATAATCCTCAGTAAATTTATGTTTCGCCTCATTTACCTTTAAACATGCTTCGTATAGAAGGGAAAACACTTCGTGTAAATCTCATATATGTTCATCATCAGTTGTCTTGCTAACAATTATTATATCGACTAACTAAATAAACATACATTTTCCAATGACAGTATTATCCATAGCTCTTTAAAACATGGCTTGTGAAGCCTGTGGCTGCATAAGCCATATAGCATGCTAAGAAAAGCATTAACTCCTGGTTTCGCAGTAAATGCGGTTTTGGTCCATGTTCTAGTTTTACACTTGTCTGTAAGTACCCAGAAATGAGGTCTAGCATCGCCTTGTATTTTGTAGATTTTAGTTTCGAATGATTCCCTCAAATATTGGCAAGGGTTAAACCAGATATTCTGTTATGTTATTTAATTTTTAATAGATATTCTGTTATGGTATTTAAATATGAACCTTGATTTAAGATATTCTGTTATGTTAAGTCAATAGCAAAACATGCTTTAAAATCAGTAGGTGGAAGATTATTTTTCTTTTGGCACAATATTACTACTATACAATTACTTATGGGTATTGTAACTTTATTCTTTAACATTTCTGCAATATATTGTTCTATTATCTTTTCTTTGGCCTTATCATAGCGGTAGGGTTTGGCAGTGCATGAAGGGGGTTGATAATCTCCAATTTGTTTTTGCATGAATAACCACCTGAGTCAAACCTGGGTCTTCATCTAATAAATCTGAAAATTTTCTTACGAACTTCTCCAACTTCGTTCTCTTATCCGTGTTCAATTCCGGAAGTCCAAAGCCGGACTTCATTTTCTATCAGTTTTTTTCATTTCCAACTTTTTTATTCCATGCACAGCAGTCTCCTGAAAATTAATTTTCCTCCCCATAGTCTGTAAGAAAGCGAACCCCAATATTGCATAAGATATTTCACTACATAGAAAATCACCTGGTGTTGGCTTTTGAACTACACATTTAAAGTTACTTTCCTTACGCATTCACATTGTTTGCCCTGAGCGGCGATCACTCTCGTTCCTCTCGATCACTGCCAGACGGAGGACATCTAACACTCTATAGGATTTAAAGTTTTTCCTAAACAAATTTTCAGCTAAAAACTACTTTGCGCCTGTATTCCCCATACAATAGTATTATCTAATACAATAGTACTTACATTATTGTGTACTTCAAATAAAAATGCATTTAAAATTTCGAAAATAAAGGTCATTATGCAGTGGCATACAAGAGTACGTAAAGAAAAAAAATTGCTTCAATCATGAATTTTTCTAATGCATGTGCTGTAGGAGAATAGAATTTAGTCTAAGTTTCAGCATGTTAACTATCACATACATTCACATACATTAAAACGCCTGCTCATTTGGACTGTGCTTGAAAAGAGAGAGAAATGACATTATACTTACGCATTTGTCCAGGACATTGAAATAAAGAAATAATCCTGCTTCCTCTTTTTCGTTCCCCGAGAGGATAGTGTAGGCCTCGATCGTTATTGGATTGGAAAAGTATGAAAAATCCAAGACTTCGTATCTTGGTAGAACAGGATTCAGAACAAGATCTACTTCCTAATAAGGATTAATCATGTATCATAACATACTTATTAATTTCAAATTTGTCACTAGCTTTTCATCTGGAATAAAACAGTTACTTACATTTTTGAAAAGCATTCCTATCATTCCATCCCAGGTGTTATTCTCAAAGTCGCCATATTTATCTGATGGCTCTCTATAGAATTCCATTCTAAAATGTATGGAAATTTTTGTTATCAAAAATGGAATTTTTTGTTATCAAAAATTTCGAATTAAAGCAAACGAAATTGATAAGCTAATTAAAAACGTAAACGAAATACGTTTGTTTAAGCTGTGATATACTCTGTTCATCAAAACTAAATGATAATTTGAAAAGATATAGTTAATGATTAAAACTTTCAATCAATGTTAAATGGTGTAATTATTTAAATTGATTATCTATGGCTGAATGTAAAACTAGATTTCTTCTCATAGGTTAGCACATGAAATTTTCAAATTAGACAACTAACAACGTGTTTGGCAATAAACGAATGTTGGGATTCGTATGTGTGGTGTTATTTAAAGTTACTGTGATTTCTGAGTTCTCAGTTATGAGTTAAAACCATCATTTAAGTGAAGGGCAAGTGGCGGCTAACTGGAATAGTGGTGAGTGGACAAATGAATGTAATTATCCCTCGATGTTTCATATCAAGAACTTGGAAACGCCTTATAAGCAGTTAATCATTTAGTAGACAACTTAATCAAGGGAACCTAAGAATAATAACTGCATCCGAATTCTGTCATTGGCTCGGTTAAACAGAGAAGCGACTACAATATAGTTAGTTTTAGATTTTCTGGCTCCCACAGGAATTCAAATCGATCATCCTACGGCTGCGAAAAATCTCAATGACACTGGATTTTGGGCAATAAAACCAATCTTCTCATTTCATCTTCCGAAGGGGCCTGTTTCGTCATGTTAAGCGGAGTCCAAGCTGCGAGATCTTGTACTGTTTGTTGACGAGTTTAGATGTAGTCTGGATTAGGGTTCTTGGTGTGTTTTCATTTGGAGGAAGCAAGGAATACGCAATTAGCATTCTCCTGTTCTTGAAAGATCCCGTTACCACTAGAGTAGTGTCAGTTCATCGTAAAGAAATGAGTTTGGGCTTTAATAACACGTAAAGTACCTAAAATAATGCAAATGTTTCTAAGCAAAGCTTACTTTTAAACAGTATTTTAAGATGGGTGACTAAAGTAAACAAACTTATTACAAATTATAGATGGGCAATGCAATGCGAAATTTTAACTGTATCTATTTACAGACTAGCTTATAAAGTATGCGTTTCTGAGGTGTAACTGGAAGTACTTCCAGCTAGTATTCGGAGATCGGACGTTCGAACGCGGCTAAGGCGTAGCTCAGTATCATGTTTCCCGCTGTGATAAACCTATTGGTTCTACAAGCGCTTTAGCAGAAACTTGAAAACAGCATAAATATCCTTACTTGAATCTCACACTAATGTGATTTCATCTTAAGTTATTTAAACTTAAACAGACTTTAAATTACCTATATCTTTAACATATTCACAGTTCATTTGCGTGCTATATGGGAACTATCAGTTTAAGGTAGGAGACACAGCGCATTTCTTCATCTGAGTTCTACAAGCATACAAAATCGTTGAATATTCCAAAATAGAGAAATACATATTTTCGACAAAACATCTACCCGGCTGTGATGAAATATACAGCTGAAAACCTCGATCATGTTCTTCAGATTCATAAATGTATATTCTCACCTGTTAACTTAAATTTGTCGCTGCAAAAAAAAAGAGATCCCATTGATGATTGGATGTATGTCTATACGGACGGCTGTGCTAAAGAAACTACTAAAAGAACCAGTTCAGATATTTCTTTAGATTTTTAAAAATGAATGAACCTTTAGTCTCAGATAATTTTGATAGAGAAATCTGCTTAATTAATCTGGCACTTCATATCTGGCCTTAAAAGACCAAAACAAAAATTTTTCTTCTTGATAGATTCTCAAGATTCTATCTAGATCCTCAGCGGTTAAAATTTTGCATTCGTCAGCCACTAAGCAATTGTAAAATAATCATGGATATTCTCCTATCTTTTGGTAGAAAGATTCATTGGATTATTAAACGTTGTAATTTTTCTGGAAATGAAAACGCAGATAAGCTTGCAAAGGAGGCGTCTTTTTTTAATCTTTCCCGTTAGTCTGCTCAGGTAAAAAGTGTTAAAGAACTTCTTAAACAAAATATCTGAAAAAAAGCGAACAGTTATGTAAAAGCAAACAACTCCTGAAAACTCTTGGATCTCTCACTGATGTACTCACGCACCGATAAAATCATCTTTTGCATGTATTTAGTGCGTACAGTACGATTAGGACAATAGTATAATGCACTGCTTAGACAAATATTTCTAGAAACTTATTCCATCCTAGAATTACGTTCAGAATTAAACGAAATCTACAAACTTCAACATTCCATGTGATTCATGAAAAGAAAAGCTCAGTACTTTTATATAAACCTTAATAGAAATATAACAATCTAATTTCATGCCTCAGAATTATGCATAAAAGCCTTGCAGCGAAAATTAATACAGAATTATTAAGGGGGCAATATAAACATCCTCAAATCTCATAAAACGAATCATGAAGTTTCGAAATTCAAAAATTTGATTCTTTGCCCTTTTGTTTCCTTCGTTCGGATCTTTCAAACTTTAAAGCATTAAAACATTTCAAACTATAACAAGCATTAAGTATTTAACGCAAAAATTTGGAAAAATTAATTTTGGTGATGTCTAGCAAAAGCATTTACTAAAAGGGAATAAAATGGTTGCAATTTCAGTGGTACCTAAAATAACCAATACCGTCACGAGTCTGTGTGCCGCCCGCTAAACGTATTTTTACGAAATTCTAAATTAAGTTTTTAGTCTTTTTAAAATTTTCTGGGGTCAATGTAGCGTTCTATATATAGTAATTATTTGCGTTAATTCTTGAATTAATTCTTCTACCTTAATACTTTCTTAGATTTAAAACTATTATAGCAAAATGCATAAAATTCGAACTGTTAAGAAAATACTGTTTTCAGTAATAGAAAAAATTATATTAAGAATTCAAAAAGTATTGTATTGAAATTTTGTTGAAAAAATAAGCATCAAGAATTTTAAATACTTATTTCATTCACTTAATTTGACTTGCATTCTTTTTATCAATGCAGAAGTATTTTTAAAAACTTAATTTCTAAATTTCTTTTCATTTAATGTAAGTCGCATAAGAAGGTCGCTAAATTGCAACCTTATCTTCATGAATATTTGAAGGTGTTAAGCTTCCTTTCGTCAAGAATTCAGTCAATGATCGGTGTTAAACGTTTTCGATATTCACAGATAATAATCTTAATAAATCTCGCAAAATCAACTAAAAATTACCAGATATCTTTGCATTCAATTTTATATTCCAGAAGAATTCCACAATCGTTTTACTGAATTATATCATCCTACAAGTACTATTAAGTCGTACTTGGAATTAGAACTTACCGCTATCTGTATTTCTTCTGTAATTATGTAAATAATTTTCTGTGAAAGCATAGATCAAAAGTTAACAGAGTAAACAGATATTCTTTATTTAATTTCCTACGCATAAGAATGCAGAAGCAGGATTCTGTAAGATCGATAGGTCGTTCAATTGCAGAAGTCTGAAACATTATTTTCTTCGTTAGAAATACTTTCAGACACTTTTATTTTACCTATTGCATTCATTAAGAGGTCGAATTCTACCGCCCTGATCTAGCAAAGTATTAAAACGTTTGAGCATAAGTTTTTGTAGCCATAGTGAGTGCTTAAATTGTTCAAATATTTTAACAGATTTTGGGACTGACAGCTTTATTTTGACTACGATTTCCATGATTACAAATTTAAAATTAAATATTTATCAAAATTAAATTTACCTTAAGGAAACAATAGTTCTATTTAAAAAGATATGAAGTGTGGCTTTATCAAAACTTTTTATAAGCCAGCTAATCTTTATGTATATAAGCGGCTAAAGTGTGTGTCGCCGATAGTTTATTGTTGCCACTCGGAAAAATTAGCGCGGAAATTAACGTTTTTGCAGTTTTTAATTAATATCTCGGCTGTTTAAAGTCGTGCGAAGATGAGAACGGTATCGATGGATTCGGAGATTTTTTTGAAATCCGAGGATACACGTCTCGAATTTCAATTCGGCGCCGTTCCATAGATATTCGAGAAAAAAGAATTTGGCACGTAGCGAAATCCCTCTAATAGGGAAAACTCAAAGAAAGTGGAAAATGTAGGGCAGAAAACGTAAGAGAAAATTAGTTTTTAATTAATATCTCGGCTAATTAAAGTCCTCCGAAGACGCGAATGGTCAAAATGGCGTGCCACGGACCTGCGGAATCCAACGGTGTGCTTCGCTAAGCCTGAAAGCCAGCCGTTTAGAGAAGATAATGTTACTTCACGCCATATATATATATGCGGCTTAAGAGTCTGTTTGTCGCCGATAGTTTATTGGTTGCTCGCGTAACTGTACTAGCCAATGGGGTGAAGTTGAGTTGCTACGGCACAGGGTTGCCGTTTTAGTTGAGATGTGGACAATTTCCTGTGAAACTTGCCTTTGCTATGACCATCCATAAGTCTCAGGGTCAAACGCTTAACCGTGTTGGCATTTTTTTACGTGAGCCTGCATTTGGACGCGGTCAACTTTATGTTGCCTGTTCAAGAGTTCGTGAAAGAACGGACGTAAAGTTAAAAATAATTGATGGTCCTCTGCAAGGCGAGCTTAAAAAATGATGGAAAGATCTACAAAAGAAATTTTGTGTACAAAGAGATCTTTGACATGTGAATTAACATTTTATTATTTAAATCACCTTTATTTATTGAGCTAGCGGCGGCTCTTAAGAAAGGTACCGCCAGTGGTTTCCTTCATTGCACTCTACTTTAAGCAATTAAGCAAGTAGAAGGGGGAAACCCCGTGGGGCAGTAAGCAAAGGAGCGTCCTCGCCGCCTGCCTGGGTAATTCAGTTTGAATTAGCAGACACCTTTGCACAAATCATTTTAATTACAATTTATAATAGCTAGAACAGCCGTCATTTCATATGACCGCCAGGCTTTCTAGTAATTATATAAGCTAAGTATTTGATCGTAACTGAAGCACGTCATAATTAATTGGTTTTAAACCCAATATAAATAAAAATCTGTTCGTATATAATATATATACTCCTCGCATAAACATATGCATACACATTTTAGCTAAGGTAAATCTTTATTTAGATTTTGTAGTTTTCGTTAATCTAATTCACTCCTCACTTGCTTATTGAATGATGAAATGAATCGTCTTTCGCAAGTACGATATGGAAAATAAAAATACAAAATAATGTTCATTGAAACATTTAAAGCAATATAAAGATTTACTTTACGCTAGAAATAAATTTTAAACTTATTAGCTACTGTGTTTACTTACTCGAAGTTCATCCATTTGGCAACAGTAAAAAGAATATCTGGCATAAAACCTCCCAGATCTAGTTTTCCATCGGTCTCGTTAACGTTCACGAACGGGGGAAGCTGATATAAAAAGTAAATATATTAATTGTTTAACTTTTTAAAATAAATTTTAAACTAATTAAGTTTTATATTTTAAACAGTAGAATTAAAAATATATTTGTAATAAAGAAGCTGTAAGAGGAATTGCCTACATATATTTTGAATCTGTTGCTGCTAACCAGTGGCGGCTCGTAATAAGCACTGTGGAAGTGCAGCACCTCCTACTTCCACTTATTATTATTTTTAATATTTAATATAGTGTGTCCTTTAGTTTTTAATTCTTTCTTTATACTTTTACAATACATAATCCTTAAGCTTAAAATGTCAATAGCCATCCCCCAGTATGTGGAAAAGGTACGAAAGTCATTGTTTGGGAACTGCGCGCTGCACAGTTCCAGCGACGTAGTGTTTACCTGTTCTGCGCATGCGCACACAGAAGCAGAAGGGAGAAAGAAAAGCACTGTCGCTCTTGCAGTGCCGAAAATCTGGCGTGTTGTTGGAAATGTGATTTCTTTTTAATCCACGCGTGTGGTATTCGTCCACAAGGTGGAACTTCATCATACGGACCATAAACAGAGTTCAGGAAAATTTGCAACCTTTAAATAATTGCCCTGCTGAAATTCAATCAACATCAAATGCAGATCAAACTATTGCAAAAGCAACAAGAATTTTAAAATATCTAAATGATGATAATTTCAAAGTGTTGGTTAGCGATTTTTTACCAGATTATGCCTCATGTTGAATAGTATACAAGTAAATGCAATTCAGAGAAATTAGTGTGTTTAAAGTTAATGAATATATAACAAATTTCAAAACTGCTATTTTAGAATTAAGAAACTTAAAGTACTGTGAGAATTTTTCAAAGACATTGATGGCAGAAGCTAAGGAAATATGTGACTTAATACTACGTATTGATATAATGGACAGATATTCTTCCACTAAACATTTAGCAGCTGCTAAATTGTTTAACAACAAGAAATGCTTCGCTAGTTTCAGCAATGAACATACCTGTAAGAAGAAATAGTACTGACCACTGAAGCATATCCAATGACTGAAAAAGAAAAGCTTGAAACTGAGCTAAAAGTATTCTATTGTTAGGTCTGATATCCATCAATACTGCAAATTAATTGAGCTACTGAAATTTATCTTCGGCAAATAATCTAGAATGATGTTCTTAGGTGAAATTATGAAACTGATAAAAATTCTTCTTGAGAAGTTCCCATGACTACATCAGAGGCAGAACATTGCTTTTCAACATTGAAAAGAATGAAATTTTTCTAAGGAAGCACTATGAATTCGGAAAAGACGAAATGCCCTTGCAGTGCTTTCAATAGAGAAAAATTTCCTCAGTTGTCATCCAGAGATCAAGGAGAAAATTATTCATCTTTTCGCACAAATTAATACACGAAGAATGGATTTCATTTTTTAAAATGACTAGATAAAGTTTGAACTGTAACAATTTAGGTTAAAGTAATTAAGAAATCCTTAACTTTTTTTCTTGTAAGATTTCATGAAGTTTCAAAATAAATTTTCTTTTTATACATGTTTGTTTCCTTTTACACAATTTTAAAACAAAGGTTAAATATTTTTGGAACACCACCCCCACTAATTTTAACTACGAGCCGCCACTACTGCTAACTTATATTCTTTTAGTTTTTATCCTTAGTTTGAAACATTTCGGAAGAACGCCAAGATGTGGTTTTGAGTAATTTAATAAAAACTGAGTTTGTTACTGGATTTCTCAAACAGATTTAAACAATGTTCAACTAAATTACATTAAATAAAATAATGCAGCTTAAATTGTATACGTTATAGACTTCAGAATTAGAAAACCTCCAGAAAACATTTCGCTGTTACATATTTTCATAAAATTTTCCTTAATACCAATAGAATTCAGTTTGTATAACTATCTGCTAATATTGCAGATCCCTATTTATTATTTTTATTATAGCAAAAGCATTCATTCCGGCGTATATATGAGCTTCGAAAATGCTCAGTGTCTTAATATTTGTCGAATATTTGATACGTAAGTTTATGAACCAAATTTGAAAAAAAAGAATCAAATAAGGCAGACTTTCTGAACCTAACAATTCAGGTGCATGACACTTTTAAAATTTTTTATCCAGAGAAAAAAGCAATTCAATGAAAAAATATTTTTTATACCTGAATTAACTTCGCGAAAAAAACTATCAGCATACATATGTTCAAAAGTGATTGATTTTTAAAGCCTTAAGTTCTGCCTCCACATTGTCTATCCAACACTTATGCGAGGTCTTCCTCTTTTTCTGGTACCCTTTACACTTGCAAAGGTCACCTTTTTAACAGGGTTCAAGTGGTCATATCTAAAAGTATACCCAAGTCACTTGATACGATAAGATTTGACGACTCGGACAATATTTAGGTTGTTTGTATCTTCTATATGGTTAAACAAATGTTATGGTTTCATGGTTAAACAAAATTCTCCATCCATTATTTTCCTCTAACTGGGCCATATATTTTTCTCAGTATTTTTCTTTCAAAGATTAAGATTTCTTTTCCAGTGGCGGGCACTTGCCTATGTCGGCATCGGCCATTCCTAAGGCCGGATGTGGTGGTCTCTTTATTATGGAGGCACTTAATAGGTGGGCTACCCTTACCTCCTATGAAGGGAAAGGACAATTACTAGCATGCCTTATCCAGGATTCGAACCCTGGCCCTTCGGTATCACAGTCAGGCGACCTTAACCACTATACCGTCTGGGCGGCTCAAAGATTAAAATTAGATGCATGTATTCCAAACTGTAAATTTTCGAATGCATATTTCTAAAAGATATCTTTTACGACAATGAAAAGTGAAAATAGTTGAATGAAAGCACGACATATCATGGGTTGTAATTCCTGTATGTAGAAACATTAAATTACAAATTTTGAATTTTTTAATTATTATTGCTGGTGTGAATTTGTACAGAAGGGCTTATAATGAATTATTTACTTATATATAATTTCGGAAATAATAGTGAGGTTTTTAAAAATTTTTAATTTCAAGAGGGCAAACTTCTATCCATTTTCCCAATTCCTATAGCAAAATCAAATATTAGAAGAACAATAAACAGAACAATGCATATGTATTTCTTTGATTATAACTGAGCATGACTCACAACAAATCAATGGCAGTTCCCGAATAAGGACGTCGATTGAATAAAAATATAAAAAGTGTTAATGGGCTTACTTCCCAAAACTTCTTGCTCTTACAAGAGATTTTATGAATTTAATTAGTTATATTTTTAATTTCAGTATAGTTGATTAGTTACTAATTAGAACTTAAAATCGAGATTTATTGTAATCTTTCTCATTCAAATGAGTTTTTTTTTCCTAAACCAAATTGTTTCATTGCTTTCTTTAAAACCAAAGAAAATGAAATTCGTTGTTTTGTTCGGAAATTTTTGGAAATGAGAATGATGTGCTTGTATGTCAATTGTACTATCGCTAGCCCATTAATGAGCTTTAACTAAGTCTATTTTCCCCAACACTTTTAAGTGCTAATGAAAAATGTTAGGTTATATAGATTTTGTATTATTAAATTGGAAGTTTCCTTTATCAGCGTACGTAAGGAAAAACTGCATTACTTATGTTATAAGGTATTTCTCCCACCTTCGTGGTGTGGTGGTCTGCACGCTGGTCGCGTATTCCAGAGATCCGTGGTTCGATTCCCGGCGAAGACGTTGCTCATTTTTCACTTCTCCTACTTCCAAAAAATACCTTAATGTCTCTGCAATGTGATAGTAAAAAATATGAGATTAACTGGGATACTGACTTTATTTATTTTTCAATCTGCTTGTTGTTCGCTTACCTCAAATGTTTCTTGTTGGGTATTTATTTGCGATATGGAGTATTTAATAGTTGTTAATCTAAAGAAAACTGTATTTTAATACTACAGAAATACACATACACTCTGTTAGCTGCTTCATGAATGAAATCAATTCATAATGCCTAATATTTAATAAATTATTTAAACAAAAGCTTTAACTTACATGTGCATAGCCGACACGGAGCGTCTGAGTTGCAGTTTTGCCCACCATTGTTTTCTATCAATCAGAATCAGACTACAGATGAAATGTTTCCTCTTGATCTATAAGAAGCTTTACCGAAGGGACTGCAAAGTAAGCAGTCAATTGTTATTGAGAATTTTAAGTATGGGTTTTGCAGTATAATTTCAAAAACACAGATTACTATAAAAGTGCATCAGACACTACTACTGTCGAGGAAAGTTTTATTTTACCTAAAATGCTTACTCAGTTCAGCAATAAATTTAACAATATATCCCTTTTCTAAATATTTGTTATTAAGACAAAACATATAAGACTTCCGTGCATCTTCGAAATCCAAAAATGTGCATAAAGCACTTACGGTTTACAGAAGAAGTTGTAAAATTCTTTTCAAGAATTGTGTGTTCAAGTGTCAAATTCTGTTTAAAACTGTATCTAAAATAATAAATAAGAAATGAAATAGTAAAATGTATGCATAAATATATGTAAATTTGCAAAGGAAAAAAAATTCGTTTTACACCAAACTATGTAGAGAATATTATTTGCATTTTAATTAAAATACTAAAGGAATTTATATAAGGCCTTTTTTTTTACTTTAAAATAGTCTTTATTTTATTCAAAATACAAAGAAATTTTTATTTTTGTTTTGTATAGAATTCTGATTTAATTTTTGAGGCTCTTTCATAAAGAAATTAAGCATTTCCCTCAAAATTATGTAAAACAATCTATATAATTAATTTTTATAGTTTAATGTATCCTTTAAGGCGCAGATCAATACCCAAGGGAAATTTTGGAAAATTTAAATTACTCTAAAAGTACTGTAGTCAGACTGACGAGTCGTAAAACTTTAACTCAACATCAAAATTTCTGCTTTACGTTTTTATTCTCATAAAAATCACTTCATATTAAATATATAATTTGGCTAATACATATTTAGTAATTACTTAACTACATGTTACCATAGTCTGGCTTGGATTTACTTACTAGATGAGAATGTTAGAATAAAAGACGAAAATAACTTAACCTTGAAAGTATAAACTGAACTTTTTTCCTCTCTAATGAACATAGATTAAAATATATTTATATTTCTAACTAGAAAAAAACAGATCAAGAAATTATTTGGTTCGTAAAAAATAGGAAATTTTCATAGATAGTTTTTAGTAGTTTAGTAAGTTTAATTTTTATTGCTCTTTAGGCATCCAGTTTTACTGGTTGAAGTTATTGTTATCAGGAATTTTTAAATAAGTATTAGACGTTTTCTTCTTCTTACCATAGACTTCAGTTTCTGAATCTTGTTCAGCTTCAGCAAACATCACCGAGAACACTAACGTCATAGCATGTAGATCTGAAATGCCTGTTTCCTGTAACCCATTATAAAACATAATTTCTGTTACCTTTCCTTTTGGCATAATAATAAAATTTCTCGAAAACTTTAAAAACCTAATTGTTTGCTACAGTACTGTGACAGAGGTATTGTTTGAATAAGTGCTGATAAATAATATATTAAGCATTTTGATGCGGTAAAAGACGGGTTATTTTAACGAAAATCAATATGTAAAAGGATTGTCTTCTGAAATGCAACACTGAATACAGTGAATATGTTTTGAATATTTGACGATGAACGTGCAAGTATATTTAGTTATACAGGTAGTGTAAATTTTCATGTTCCTGGATAGAGAGTTCGAAAATGATCTGCCAAAGTAGATTATTAAGCGGTTTTGTCTAATAGCTATTTAAATATCAAATGTGAAAAGTAGTATAAATGTTTCAAAGGAGAGGCAACAGATTTTTCATTAACCTCATTAAACCAAATGTAATAAGTCAATCGATTGTCAGAAATGTTTTGCAGAGCTTTCATGTATTATTTTTTGCACGTTAATCAATTTAATGGGAACATGAACGAACTGAGAAACACATTTATTATTAGCCATAAGGAAGAAATATGTATCGTGCGGTGATCAAGCAATAATATTTGTATTGTATTATATGCGTTTAAAACATAATTAATGCAATACGTATGTTCATAGAGTTTATTTCCCTTCAAGCCCAAGGTGTGTAGCTTTAACTCCTTTTGTCTAAGATGAACGTGGAGGAATTTAGTGAATTATGTAGCGACTTATCGCTGAGTTCAAAACAAGTAAGACGTAGACTCGAGAAGAGTTAAATTACACTTTTATTCAATCAAATACGAATAACAGTCGGCCCCTTCTCGGGCTTACAGGAAGCCTTTACTCAGACTTTAACTCAGAATAGAAATAAGAAACTAAACTATAATTAACTAAACAAGACTTAGCCGATGCTAGACACAATTGTCTAACGTATTTGGCACTTAAATTAAACTAGCCGACAAATATCAAAAGATATGTAATATACGGCTGAGCGTAACAGCTTCATGAGTGACTTAACGAGAAGGCAAACACGCCCTACTAAGGACTCCAAGCACTCTCTGTAGAAGTAAGCTGAAACTTACTTAAATACTTCTTTTAACTCATTTGCATTTAATGCAATTCTAAAAACTCATTGTGGTAGGGAGTTGTAAGTGGAAACAAAAATTGATAGGAAAAGTTTTCAAAATTAAAGTAACTATTATAAAATTTAAATATACAAGTGTTTCAGACATTTCGCACTTGTAAATGAAGTCATGTGTAAACGGAATTTTTTTAATACTTTTGTTGTAAAATTGTTTAATGTCTCAAATACTACAGCCCCACTTTTTCTGCTACCTGAAGACGTTGAGAGAACAGTTTTTAGTTATTTTTTTATCTTTCTGTAAAAGTATCAAAATGACAGTGCAGTTATAAGGTATTTCTCCTGTCTTCTTAGCATGCCTTCGTGGTATGGTGGTCCGCATGCTAGGCCGGTATTCCTGAGGTTCGTAGTTCGATTCCCGGCGAAGGCGTTTGATCATTTTTCATCTTGCCTGCTTCCAAAAAATCCTAATGTCTCTGCACTGTTATGAATAAATTGCTCACTTAAAGCTCGAATCTGTTCCATATTTATCATTAAATTTGCTTACCATTGCACAACAAAAATTCAATGCTTCATATCATTAAGATTCCCCATGGATTCCCGTACGTTTCAGAAGAAATAGTGGATATCTCCTTGGAATGTTCTCACTGTTGAAACAAACTTTATGCTTCACTAAATGCAAATATAAACATATAATCTGAAAGAGAATTTATTTCAGAAATCAATGAAAAATAATCCATATATCTGCAGTACAAATACTGTCAGGTTTGCTTGATAAAAGGTGTTAGTAATTCCAGTCGGCTTCCTAACTTACGCTACAGGCTCGCCTACAGTGGCCGAATAAATGAAATGTTAATTTATCCCTGGTATGGATAACCATGAATGGGGTGATAGCATGGAGTTTTCGGATTTTCCCAATATATGGCATGAAAAATATCCAAAGACATCCCTCTTAGAACGCATATAGACCTCACTTGTTTTTCCATAACTGGCACGTAAGTTCACTATCCTAATTCGATCTCACCATGGTTGATGAACCAAGTGTAACTTCCTTTTACTAAACACTTTTTTAATTTTCTAATTTTCTCTTCTAATTTTTTTAGCTTGTTTTATAATCTGTATTAGCTCAGCGTTCCAACTTTTCTCACTTTTTGTATAAACACTTTCATTTAGTGAAGCATTACCATTGCTATCAGTACACTTTTCAGAATTATTAGCATACAAAATTTCAGATCATGTCCCTAATTCTGCTGTTACTGATGACAAATAAAATTAATATGATAGGTAAATATTACTTTTATTGGAATATACTGACAGAAGATTACTTGTAGTGTTGCTACTAGTCTAGAAATTAGTCAAGTCTTACGGATTTTACTAGATAGGTTAGCGAATTATCATTTCTCCTGTATTCACGGATACAGGAGATTTGGGGATTGCATTTGATCTGGTATGTTATTTTAGTTCACGGTTTTTTCACTTCTGCTACATAATCCATAGTTATATTCTATTTTAGTTCACGGAACTAAAATAGCATATATCTATGGATTATGCAGCAGAAGTGAAGCGAATTACCGCTATATGTGAGAACAACGACAAAGCCTCAAGAAGATTAAAATAAATTTTTTATTTAAAACGAATGTAGAACAAAAGGGCACTCTCTTCTGCTACAAATAAGCACAATTCTTGATGATGCAAATAAAGTGCACAGTTGAGTTTTCAAGCAGTACTCAAGTAGTCGAGAACTGCACAATTAAATACTATACTAGAAGCTGGCTCACTAACTCTATCGGGGCGTCAGAATTAAAGTTTGGCAGCGAGGGGCCACAAAACTAAATAATTACTATTATTAGAGCTAGCAGAAAAATAACCATGTAGCGCGCACACGATTTCATAAACACTATCTGCACTAAATAGAAAAACTTCAGTTTAAATATTCACTACTAATTTGCATTTTGGTGAGGAATTTGGAAAACAAAGGTTATAGTAAAGACTGAAATAAAATAATTTTTAATTAACATATTCTCTACAAAGCTTTAAATAACCTTTTCATTTAGTCCTAACTTTGAACATAAAAGACACGACTCGTGCTACAGACAAACCAGCACTTGTGTGATGTAAATTAAGCAATAGCAGGAGACAAGTAACAGCAGGTTAGGACACCCGGGGCGGCTTGATAGACTAATCCAGTATGGTCCGAATCTTGCAACTATCTAAAGCAACACCCCAAATCAAGAATACATACATGGCTATATAAGGGCAAAGTATTAGATATTAAGCTATATGTGCTACCTAAAGTACATAACTTCATATGCTAAAAGACACAAGACACTGCTTGCGACTGCATAGCATTACGCCTAAAACTCGTTGCTGCATCAGGTACACTAAAAGCTGGAAACGTGCCCGAATATAACTGTAAAACTAAACATTGTTCAGATTACATTGGACACTGACACATTGCTATATATAAAACTCGTTGCTGTTCTCGATACATTGCACTCCAGTGGAACAGTATCACCTGGGTACCTGAGCTAAAAGTCTTACCCCGTGTAGAACATAATAATTGAATTTACGATAGGTAAAAGAGAGTAACCTAATAAAGAATATATAATTAATTATTTTTAATATCTTTAGGATTTAAAGAATTCATTGTCCCTAAGTTAATGACTTCAA